TGTGTGTGTGTGTGTGTGTATGTGTGTGTATGTGTGTGTGTGTGTGTGTGTGTGTGTGTGTGTGTGTGTATGTGTGTGTGTGTGTGTGTGTGTGTGTGTGTGTGTGTGTATGTGTGTGTGTGTGTGTGTGTGTGTGTGTGTGTGTGTGTATGTGTGTGTGTGTGTGTGTGTGTGTGTGTGTGTGTGTGTATGTGTGTGTGTGTGTGTGTGTGTGTTGCAGAGCTTTACACTTTACCACTGAGCTACATCCACAACACAACTAAACTCTTTCAATGAAGCAAAACATGAATACTTTTGTTTATAATGAACATATTAATTTTCTGTTACTGTGATAAAGCACCATGACCAAGGCAACTTATAAAAGAAAGTGTTTAATTGTGCTTATGTTTCCTGAGGGTTAGAATTCATAGGTGACAGAAACAGCTGAGACTATGCATGTCAAAACAGCTGAGACCATGTGTGTCAAAAAGCTGAGACCATGTGTGTCAAACTGCAAGCAAGAAGCAGAGAGTGCACCCTGGGAATGACATGGAGAATGGAATCTTTTGAAACTGCAAAGCCCACCCCTAGTGACACACCTCCATCAATAAGGCCACACCTCCTAATCCTTCCCAAACATTCCACCAACTGGGAACCAATTCAAATATATGAGCCTATGGGCGTCATCTTCATTCAAACTACAAGTAAACATTTCTCCTCGTTTGTCTTTCAGCCATAGATCCTCTTACCAGTTGTCCAGTGGGGGTCTCTAGGGTTCTTTGTTTTGTTTTCCTGATTTGTATGAAGTCTTTACTTTTTCATACAATTCTAATTTTCAAGAAATACATGGATATATTCCTCTCTGTGAAAAATAATCCAAATGTTGTAGAAAAAAACTCAGGTGCCCTCTAAGAATATGCAATGGCTTTCATCCATCTGAGAGTTGCATTATGATATATGGGTTAGGATCTAAATGCATCTTCTCAAACTTGCTAAGTAATTAAGTTATTAAACCTTACTTCTTTTATACATGTATTTGTAATATTCCTTTATCTCTTTTATAAATTTTTAGACATGTACTGGAGCTTACTCATCCAGTTCATTTTGTTGGAAGACTATTTTAATGCCGTAGGAAGTGTGTTTCTTTGGTTTTGAGATTCTGCTGTTGTTGTTTAAGCATTTATGTTAGTGTCTATAGTATCCTTTCTTTTCATGTGTACCCACAAACTTTGGACTGGGGGCAACATCTCACATTTTAGCCAGGCTGCTTTCAAACTCCTGGGCTCATGCAATCTTCTGATGTCACAGGGACTATTGTACACTACACCACCATGCCACACTAATCCAATGAATTTTTTTTAATTTGGAGAGTACTCTACTTCTTGGCTATCCCCTGATTTAAGTGTTACACAGTGCTTTCCCTTGGCATCAATTTTAAGCTGTTTTTTTTTTTTTTAATAAATCTTTTTTTTTTTTTTAGATTTTATTTATTTATTATGTATACAGTCTGCTGCCTGCAGGCCAGCAGAGGGCACCAGATCTCATTCAAGGTGGTTGTGAGCCACCATGTGGTTGCTGGGAATTGAACTCAGGACCTCTGGAAGAGCAGCCCGTGCTCTTAACCTCTGAGCCATCTCTCCAGCCCCTTAAGCTGGTTTTGAAACAACTTAGTGTTGTACAAGCTGGCCTGGTTACTGATCTCCCTACTGCTTTGAAAATGAACCTGGCAACAGAACAGTTTCCATTCTGTTCCAGTTGGTCCTCTACATCCATGCAGAAAGCAGCCCCAAAGCAGCATGACTGCATTTGTCATGGACATAGATGTTAAGACAATTTTTACTGCTGGAAATAGAGATCCTATTGATTTAGGTTTATTCACTGGTGTTCACTTTATTGTAACCCTTTCTCTACTACAATAGTTTGGGACTGATTTCTTTATAAATCTGTGTCTTCTGACTCTGGTTCAGTGTTTTGTTTTGTTTTTTTTTCTTTAATGCCCCATGCATTAAAAACTGCTTACCGTCATTTAAAAAATGACATTGATTTCCTTATTTCAAGGAGGGCAATTATGATTCTCCCTACAGGTGGCGAATATTAAAAAAGAGACTCACATTGTGTGGTACAAAGACGAGCGGGAGATATCAGTGGATGAGAAGCATGACTTCAAGGATGGCATTTGCACCCTGCTCATCACAGAGGTGGGTGGCTACAGGCATCAAAGCTGCTGGCTCCGTGTTACAGTTCTTCCAGCAGAAACTAGATTCATCAGTCATTCCACACCCAAAGGACTCACAACAGTTTCCATCTGTTATAGGAACATACTTATAATCGCAGTGGTGGAGATTCAGAGACAGGTGGATCCCTGGGGCTTTGTGGCCACCTGGTCTAGCTGAATTGGAGAGCCCCAGGTCCTAGTAAGAGACTTTGCCTCAAAAAACAAGGTTGGAGCTAGAGAGATGGCTCAGCAGTTAAGAGCACTAGTTGCTCTTCCAGAGGACCTGGATTTGATTTCCCGTACTCCCACGATGGCTCACAACCATCTGTAACTCCAGTCCAGATCATCCAGTGCCTTCTTCTGTTCACTTTATTGTAATCCTTTCTCAACTAAAATAGTTTGGGACTGATTTCTTTAGAGATCTGTATCACTGTCCCCAGTCGCAGCATGCATACGGGGTAGAAACGTCTGTGCAGTCAGAACCCCATGCACATAAAACTAAAGCTAAAAGGCTAAAACCAAACAAGGTAAATGGCTCCTGAAGAGTAATACCCAAGGTTGAACTCTGTCCTCTGCACACATGCATGTGGTATGCACATCCATGCATTAACCATACAATATACACTCATACACACGTGAACACACACACATGCATGTATGCACACACAGAGACACACATACACACACAAACGCAGCAACCAGATCTGAGTTATGAAAACCTGTAATGTTCATTGTTTCCTCAGTTCTCCAAGAAAGATGCTGGATTTTACGAAGTTATCCTGAAAGACGACCGAGGGAAAGACAAGAGCAGATTGAAACTTGTGGATGAAGGTGACTGCCAACTGCTGAGATCTGTCTTAGGGGTTCTACAGCTACCAGAGTCATGACTGGGGCTGGGCTGGCCATGGCAGTCATGCTGACTTGTGTCCACCAATTTTGGTTTAATTGAAATTCCAGCAGAGCAAACTACTGTTCTTTTTCAAAATTATTTTCCATTTTGGACTTCCTAGAAATCAAAAGTGTGTTTTTGATCCTTAGAGAATTTATAGCCCTCAGGCCACTAGAAGTCTGTTTCCAATTTAAATCATCATTTTTCTCTCAACTCTACAAAAATGTTCTAGGATCAAAACCTTCTGTGAGGAAACACACTAAAAAAACAGCCCGTTGTTAAGGGTGGGGAGACAGATTTATGTATGAGACTTAAAGCCTTGCAGTTATTCGTAGAACAAAGCAGCAGTTTTCAGTTTTCAGAGGTGTACTAAGGACAAACATATCATGATACTTAGAAGCTACTTATGACCCCACCACCAAATCTCCAGTTCTCTTCCTAAATGCAGAAGGCTTCCAATTAACCAGCAGAAGCCTTAGGGATTGCCTTCCAGTTCTCAGAAGAGGTGAGGCCATGGTATTACTGGGCAGAGGATGGCCAACCAACCTTGACAGTTAATTCTTTAGGAACTAAGTCACAGATAAGAAAACTCCTGTAATCCCAAGGCTTCTCAGACTTGAGAAGAAAGGGTGTTCCAAAGCCATTAGGCTTCCTGGAGATCTCAGTATGGTCTTTTCTAGAATGTTCATAAAATATTAATTGCAAACCATTTAAGGAAAACTTAAGTCAAAACAAGAAGACTTTTAAAAATTCTTACAAAAATTAAATTATTTCACCAAAAAACCACTAATTATAGCCGGATGTTGGTGGTGCACGCCTTTAATCCCAGCACTCGGGTGGCAGAGGCAGGGGGATCTATGTGAGTTCAAGGCCAGCCTGGTCTCCAGAGCAAGTGCCAGGATAGGCTCCAAAGCTACACAGAAGAAACCCTGTCTCAAAAACAAAAACAAAAACAAAAACAAAAACAAAAAACCCACTAATTATCATGAGTCGACAAATTCACCTTCTGTCTAATAGTTTTCACCAGACAGGGACTTTTTGAGAGCTAACAGCTTGAAATTTGACCTTATATAGAATATTCTCATGCTAAAGTTTTGATTATGACCCTCTACCTACAGCCTTCCAAGAACTGATGACTGAAGTGTGCAGGAAGATAGGTAAGTTTCCATCTCCATAGCAAATGCTCTAGTATGCTCCTTCCAGGGTGAGTTCACAGTTGCTTGAACTGTGCTGTTTCTTCCCCAGCTTTGTCAGCTACAGACCTGAAAATCCAGAGCACAGCGGAGGGCATCCGGCTGTACTCCTTTGTCACTTACTACCTGGATGATTTGAAAGTTAACTGGTCCCACAAGTAAGTAAAATCATACTGACTTGCTAGGTAGACATCCCCACCCCCCCACTGGCCAGCATGAGGAATGAAAACAAAGGACCCACCCCTTTCAAGTAAGAGGGTTCACATGGAGGATCAAGGTGCAGAGCCCCTCCCTTTCTTCAGGTTATGTCTTCCCTCAGCGCATGCATAGTGAGGTACCCATAATGCCTTTCTTGTAATAGGCGTACCATCATTTACAGACATCCCTGCAATGTGGCCTCCACATGAGATGGCCGTGTAAAAGCCACCTCTGTTCTGCCGCCATCCAGAGCTGTGCTTGCAGCCCTCTCTATGTACAGTCAACTCTTGTGATCCGAAACAAAACGGAAGCAGTGTGCACTAGGAGACTCCAAGTTTCCTGCAATCATAGCCAGTTCCCATACAAGTCTCATCCTGAGAGTCCCAGGCTTCTCATCATTGTTGGTTACAGCAGCTGGCATAAATAGGCGTTAGCATCTTGTATCCTGCTTGTCTACCCTCAGAAGGCTTTGGGGACCTGTGTTTGAACAGGATTGAGTTTGAAGTCTGTTTTAATCCTAGCCTGCCTTTGTGGAATTCACCTGGAACTCCACAGGTTTCTGAATCAAACCAGACTTGTCAACCTAATCCTGACAGTATACTCAACCTCTGGGCTTCCTTGAGACATACTTGGCAGAAACAGAAAAAAGGCAGGGTATAGACAATCTTTAGGAATTTCAGTCCAATTTCAGTAAAGACATTCATTCCAAACTGTTACCAGAAGTCCTTGAGGATACAGATAACAATGTCTGTTTGTATTACACCTTCACTGGGCACTAGCAGGCCACTGGGCATTGCTACAAACCAGTAGACATGTGGATTCTTCCATAGCCACAGCTCTGGGCAATAGGCATTCGTTACTTCACGGGAGAGGAAGCTCAAGTTTGGGGAGGTGACAAGTGTGGGCACACAGCTAAGTGAGCTGAGGGTTATGCCTGGTGAATCTGGCTCTAGAGCTAAGCTAGGTCATTGTAACACACACACACACACACACACACACACACGAACACACACCCCCCCCCACACACACACACGCACACACACACACACGCACACACACACACACGCACACACACACACATG